TTCTGAATCTGGGCAATTGATCAACTTTTCATCGAATGTTATTGATATTGCTTTTTGAAAAACTCTATCCAAAGTACCCCATTATTCATGCAAACACTATATTTTTTTTGCAATTTATCGACTTACAATAAATTGCAACGGGGAATTTGAGGGTGGGTAACGGGCATTACCTTATGCGCTAATACAAACCAGAGACACATAAGAAGCAAAGCTACATCAGGGTAGGTGGGATACTATAACAACATTGGACACATTGTTATACTATTCCACCCACCTTAATGAGGATCCTTTGGGCGTGGCGATCCCGTAGCCTTTGGAGTCCAGGTTGCCTCCCACCTTCATGGTGTCACACGGCTTGCGCTGCTCGATGTACTCGTTCATGGTGGACTCCAGCAAATAGGCGTACTTGCCCTTGGACTTGCGGACTCTCAAAACCCCTTCGGCTGTTTTTTTCACAAACACCGAGGGCTCCGCACTCCGCATGTACGTCCACATTTTGTCAAAGAGGGCAATTTTAGAACGCTGCATGGGAGGGAAGAGAGGATACATCATGTATTATGATACATTTAGAGAATAACGCTTCCAATTGCTATCGGAGCAGAACATTTTGGAAAATGTGTCGGAATAATCATCAATCTGCCAAAAAATATCAACGTTGAATTTTTTTTAACTTTTGAAATATGACTGCAGAAAGGCTAACCTAATAATATTAGTTGATGATGCTGTTAATAATGTCATTTAAATTAGAAATAGAAATATTTATGGTGATAAAAGACTTCAGCAATAATACATTTGAAGAGATGAAAAACCTGTTTTTTAATTGCAGTTTGTGATTTAAGTATATGTATTGTTTAGAAACAAATTACACAGCTATTATGCAATATATCCCATCACTACAAATATTGAATGAATGGCAAATCCCGACATAGGTTGAAAAAGCACTGTAGTAAACTATTCTTCAATCTGTACACGGCGACATAAAAATATGAAATAAGACTTGTGTTAAGAATCATCATTTTAGCATTTTATTGCCTTCCAGCATATCTACATTGCAAATTTTAGGAATTTATTTTGTAAAATGTTACATTATGAAAACTAAAATTAATCTGATTTCCTTGTTTTTTCAATCAACGGTAAAAATCAATATGAAATGCGGCTCGAGGAATTCTTGTTTTTCTGAATCTGGGCAATTGATCAACTTTTCATCGAATGTTATTGATATTGCTTTTTGAAAAACTCTATCCAAAGTACCCAATTATTCATGAAAACACTATATTTTTTTTGCAATTTATCGACTTACAATAAATTGCAACGGGGAATTTGAGGGTGGGTAACGGGCATTACCTTATGCGCTAATACAAACCAGAGACACATAAGAAGCAAAGCTACATCAGGGTAGGTGGGATACTATAACAACATTGGACACATTGTTATACTATTCCACCCACCTTAATGAGGATCCTTTGGGCGTGGCGATCCCGTAGCCTTTGGAGTCCAGGTTGCCTCCCACCTTCATGGTGTCACACGGCTTGCGCTGCTCGATGTACTCGTTCATGGTTGACTCCAGCAAATAGGCGTACTTGCCCTTGGACTTGCGGACTCTCAAAACCCCTTCGGCTGTTTTTTTCACAAACACCGAGGGCTCCGCACTCCGCATGTACGTCCACATTTTGTCAAAGAGGGCAATTTTAGAACGCTGCATGGGAGGGAAGAGAGGATACATCATGTATTATGATACATTTACAGACTAATACAAAGACATATACTTTTAGAAAGCAATATAAGTTGTGCAATTTATAGCAAAATAAACATAAACATCAAAGAAACCAATGTAAAAATCAGTTGAGGTCATTTGAAATATAATGACATCATAAAGAATAAAATTATTGCCTTAATAATTGTTGAAGTAGAAGAAAAGAAGAACATTTGGTAAGACGGTATGACTTCAAATTACAAATACAATTTATTATTAGCTCAACCTAATGAGTCAAATTGGTCTATTGCAACATCTAAAATGCATTCGATTCAACTCAGGACAAATTCCAGACTTTATGTCGGAGAACTTATGCACAGTATCCATATTCTGTACTGGCCCCTTGATTCTGTGTTGTTGTTATCAGTTGACTTGTTCATTGTTATAGCTAATTAATGGCCAACTCATTGCAAAGGCTATTTGACCCTCAAAGGCCACCATACTGGGGCATGCTCTGGACCACTGGGAGCTGATTCCACTGGTGAGCGATATAAACGAGGTGTGTATTCTTTATCCTCTACAAGGAACAGCGACAATGACTGCGCTTTCCTGCAGAGTTTAAACCGATATGTCTGGATCATACTGATGCCAAGCAGCGCACACAACGTCCAGTGAACTGAAGCAGAAATTGCTTTATTGTAAATTTATGACATCATTAAAACCCCTGTGCAATGCATGCCACAGGTTTAAAACCCATGCATGACATGCATTTGTTTTTGCAACACAACGCATGTCAGGTGCACATGAAGTGTACCTGCATTGCACAGGGGTTTTTAATATACCATATTCTAGTGTTATTTTGCTAGCGCACCTGACAAACATTAATGTCGCTTATGGAAGCTGCATAAAAGCAGTGCAGTCCAAACAAAAGCGCATTTGAATCTAAAATGGTCCAAAATGTGCCAAAGAGTGCAACTTTGTGCCTTACCCTAAAGAACTCTTTTGTGGAGCCTGAGTCTAGCGTGCCGTACGCAATCTCGGTCTGTTTGGCCAGGTCCTCGGCGCTTTCGATGGGCGACACCATCCTCTCCACAGTGAGGAAAGCAGCCAGGTTGGCCGTGTAGGAGGAGATGATGATGAGCGTGAAGAACCACCACACGCCGCCAACGATGCGCCCGGACAGAGACCTGTCGCCCAAAGCCAATCACTCGCTCTTTATTAGGACAAAAGACGGCGGCTACATTTTATGAGGCCAGAGTCATTCTCAAGTTCATTTTACAGCCAACTAATGATACATGCAGTAGCAGGACCTACAAGGCTCAGAGAGCCTCCTCTGGTTTACATTGATGGAGGGGGAAAGTAATTGCCAACATAAATAGACTGTAAATATAGCGCAAATTATGCTCATAAAAGACCTCAAACTCAGTTGACATTGCCCTTAAAAATAAATAGCTTGTAAATGATTTGATTAAAAAAATGCACTGGAAGGGTGTTTAGCCAGTATATGCACAAGCAGTGAAGACCCAAGCTAAACCGAGCCCCCACCCCCCCCAAAAAAAAAAACTCAGTCAAGATGTCTTACGGCAAAAATGCATTTTTGACACCAATTACGACTGCTATTGACCTTACAGGAAGAGCACAAAAATATGCAGATAGGTACGTGGAATCGGAAATATGGAAGGAGGTCAACATGTAAAATATGTCTCAATTTGGGAATTTATTGTGTCAATGTGGGAACAATGACAAATGATTCCCAAGATGTCCTGAAAAGTTTGAAGTTGGAACTGCCATGAGGAGCATTTCTTTTTTTTTTAATAGTTCAGAATCAAATATGCGCGAACGCTACAGCAATCCCACGTGAAGTTTGCAGCTACCTTGGCGAGATATCGCAGCCTTGTCGCATGAAGGCCCCCAAGGAGAACCACAGGCTGTTGAATATTCCAAACTCGTTGGTGGACTCGTTGGTCTGGATCTGGCCGTCCTCATACTCTTCGGTGTGCCACTCGTACGGGCTGAAGCGGCTGACCAAGAAGAGCACCACGCTGACGCCGATGTAGGCAAACACGATGCACATCCAGATCTCATAGGCCAGCGGGTCCAGGAAGGAGAAAACGCCGGGCTTGGACTTCTGGGGCTTTTTGATCATGATGGAGATCCCCAGAGACATGAATGGCTTGGAAAAGTCGATCACCTCCTCCCGGACCAAGGTGATGGTCAGCGGAGCCACGGCGATGTCGGCTTTCTGGAAAACAAACACGGGGATGAGCATCCATCTTTCTGGCTTTTCCCAATGTTTCGGCAAAAAAGAGCCAACTCACCCCGTACACTAACTCGCCGACCATCCCATTCCAGATCTTGGTCTCGGCATCCCTGGCTCCGTACCTGCCGTCGCCCACAATTTTCAGCTGGTATTTGAAACCGCAATGTTTGGCGATCTCGGCGGCCAGATCCACGCAGTAGCCTTCGTAGCGGTCGTTGTCCTCAAAGAGGTCGGCGTTCTTTTTTAGCATGACGTAAGGAGCTTCCTGCAAGGACGTCCATCACAACGTGACATCTTTTAACCGGGGAGGAGGAAGTTCAGACAATGAAGTCTTGAATTTTCAAAATGGCCCGAAATTTGTACCGCTTCCCTACAAGCAGAAGTGCTTTAGCCATTTTAAATTTACTTACTAATACAAATTTGCTTGCTAGGAATTGTGTTTGTTTCTGTAAATTCCCAGTTGTCCAGGTCTGGGCTAGAGAGCCAAACAGTGCAGCAGACTAGACCTACTGGCCAGCGTCGATGGAGCCAAGACACAAATTTCACATGCTAAAAAATTCACGGTACTTTACCAAATCAAAAATTCACAAAGAGTACATTCCACATGCACACCCGCCCACAATATGTGAAAATACGCAAGACCAGACTCAATTTGGTTTTATCTTCCCAAGATTTCAACACATTTAAATTTCCAAAAACACACTTTTGAAACACATAGTAGACATGTTTTACATTTGTACCAGTACCACCATCATGAGCAAGATTAAACTATTGAAGGCCAGAGACCAGAATGACATTTTATCCTTTCAAGCAGATTTCATATTATTGCTAGCTGCCGTAGCATTATGCGTCATCCGAAAATTAACAGTGCGCTGAAACAAACTTGCTCTTGGAGGTGTGAATGTTTTGCATACCACGAGAAGGAGTCGAGTGTAGTTTAAAAAAAAAACAATAAATATATCACCTACACTGATCCCTGAAAAAAAATGCGCCGGAAGCATTCATGTCCAAGCGCATGAAGACTTTCCGAACTTTTACAAACAACCCAGACTAAACTTAGCTCCTCCCCCACATACAAAGACTTCACTTCCTTGACGCCAATTAATACTCTCCAATTAGCCAAAGAGGTAAATTCTTACATAGCAAACCGCAAACTGTATTTCTTTTAAAACATTAGACCAAGTCAACTTGCGCTTACAACAGTGAGTAAACTAAAATGTAACATTGCCTGTAAAGGCTTTATAATGGCGACTTTGTGGACTCCGCGAGGGGTTTAATCCAAATAGATGTGGAAGTCCAGCAAATTTTAGGCACTACGTATTATTGTCATTCAGTTAGTGTTGCAAATCAAGATAAATGATAACAGCGCAGCATTTACACTTTGTGTCTTTCCGTCTTAATGTTACCTGGTGTCTGGGGAAGCAAAGGACACGCACCCCACAAACCAATTCAAGCAGCCCGAGCAGCCATAAATCAAAGAGTTCACCTCGATCGCTTACCAAGATGGTGGTGACAATGACTGTTTTGTTTTCCATCCCCGTCGAGTCGTTGGCAGAGACGTCGGACTTGGTGACGGCCATTTTGTCAACTTCGTTCCAGTAGCCAATCTGTCGGCCATGAATAAGTAATGAGCGCCCGTCGGCGTAAAACACACGTCGTAAATCTTGAGAGCCCCCCCGCCCCTGCGAGGGAGACTTTACCTTTACAGGGCCGTTGTTCTTCAGTTCCATGATGTTAACTGAGTAGTTCACCCGCTTGCCGTGTTGGTCAAACTGGATGTTGCCCGTCAAGCCTTCCACACGCACCTGTGGCAACAAAGCGTCTTTTCAATTCAAATATACTGCAGATAATGACTGAATCGGGCATTTTAATTGGAGCTGCCACATGTTTGAAGGACAAAGGAAGTAATACTTTCCGCTTTCAAATGGAATTGATTCCTGGAGCCGGTGGTATTGGACCTCTGCCACACTTAAAAAAAATATATGAAATAAATTCTCTCGACTTGTTGGAATGGCTGATGGAGAATGTGTTCTAGATAGTTTTGTTTTTTTTTTTCGTTTGTTTGTTTGTTTGTTTTGCATTTGGTTTTAATGGAGCCCTAGCGATAATCTGAAATGACTCAATTAAGAAGCATTTGCGAAACCTTTGAACAATAAGCACCCTCTTCAAAACCCGCAAGGTTTGTCTGTCTCGTACAAACCAGCAAAATAGTCATTTATAGCCCCAAAAAAGGCCTCACGTTTAGACATTAGGACTGTCTATCATAGAGTGCAGCAGTTGAAATCGTAACAACTTGAAAAGTCTGAATGATAAAAATAAACAAATGTTGAAAAATACATATCAGGTTAAATTGTACAACACCCGTTGTTTGGCTTCCTTTCAGGGAACGGACGAGGCTGTGAGTAGTGCCACAGTAACAGTTTGAATAGTCTGAAATACTATGATGTGATAAAATAAGAAATAAATAAAGAGACATGAATGACATTTTAAGTATTTTCTTTTCAGTAAAGTACAACAATAATTGTTTTCTTTTTGGGAAAAGTACCATGCAGAGAAGTGCAAGCATAATAATGTGGAAAAAAAAAGTTCTGCTTCAAAATAAAAACTATGAATGTTTAATCAAACGTAACTACTTCGTTGTGTCGGAGGTAAAAAAAAAAAAAAAAACATGACATTTTTGGTACCCTCTCTGGGTGCGTGCAATACATATCCCTTGCATAAAGCGTTTCACATGCCAAAATACAGACTTGGACTGCACGTGTAGGCATTTGGACAACAAAATATCCTCCGTCTCACCTTTGACTGGCAGCCCACTTAGATGGCAAAGAGCTTTGAAGGAAGCTGATAGCATCCCCACCAAAATGGATTCTTTTGACTTTGGCGACTCAGGCGCACAACTGAACGCTGGCCAATTCAGACATCAACACGCTTGTTTGGAAATGGCCTGCCTAAGCAGAAAATGAATCACTTGATTTGGAGGAGTGCACTGAGCGGTTCATTCGATGGCCTGCCAAAGTCCACCCTGCGACTGGCTGGCAACCAATCTGGAGGCTAGTTTGCTTTTCCCACGAGGACAACTGTGATAAACTCCACTTTACCTCGCCTGAGGAATATGTTGAATCACTTGGCCTACATACACGATGCTGTGTCAATATAAACCCAATGCGATGATGTTTGGAATTTACTTTTTTCGGTTCATTATGTAAAACGCTCGCGCACACACACAAAAAATAATCATTCAAGTTAATGAGACAGTGAACAAAAAGTTGCTCATTTTTCACATTCCAACTTCATGCTGTTCAACTCTTTCAGAACATCTTTGAAAATGTCTCCACATTTTTCATGATTCCACATTTGACATGACAAATCGTGGACATTTTACACGATGAACTCCTCCTTGCACATTTCTCAACAGAGTCAACCCCTTTCAACTTCACACTATTAAACTAATTCAGAACATATCCTGAGATATGATAGCATTTCCCACATTTTCACGGTAAAATTCTCAAATTGAGAGTTTTTTTTTTTATACTTACCTTCTTCCACATTTCCTGACCGATTTTCAACATTGCGTCTCACATTGTCCATTTCAACAATGAATTCATTGCACAGCATTTCAGTTCAGTGTCAGCTCCTCAGCATTCTCTAGTTCAGCAGACTGTTCACGCTTAGCATGAAAACAGAATCATTTCAATTTTTCCACGGTACGCTGACAACGTCATTTCCGTGAGATCTCCGCCACCTTTGTTGTCGTTCATGCCTTCCCAAAGCTGACGAAATCTACCGTTACCATAGCAACCCATCACCAGATGAACACGGTTATGTCTTACCTGCTTCAGCGCTCGCTCAATCTCCACTCCCTGAGCCCAGGGAACGGCCGGGTTGGCCAGGCAGTCGCCGGTGTTGGCTCGCCGGGTGAAGTCGATCCGCTGCTTGTGCAGGTAGCGGAAGGCCTCCGTCATCACCTGCACCGCGTCGTACGTCAACGCCGACGTATACTAGGTAGCAGAAGACAGAGGAATGAACACCAGTTCGGCAAATGCAGGTTAAAAAAAAATAATTAAAATGACTGCAGTAATCCTAAGCATACACTATTCAGGGTTTACTATTCACAAATTCAAATTTTTTGGTGTTATTTTTTAAATGTCCTGATATGCCACAAGATGACACCTAAATAGGAAAAGAGCGTAGTAATTTGATGTCAAGGAATTATGTTGAAGTGATACATCTGGGCAGGAGACAAGCTTTCTTGATCGGGGAGAAGCGAAGTTAAGCCTGGGTTAACAGAGTCTTCAGCAGTGTTTGAAATGTGGGATCGGTTCCCACTCAGTGACGGTGTGAATGGTCGTTTGTCTCTATATGTGCACTGCGACTGACTGGCGACCAGTCGGGGCATCGTCTGCCTTTCGCCTCAAGTCAGCTGGGATAGGCTCCGGCAACTCCTCGCAACTCTGTTCAGGATAAGCGGTGTTGAAAACGTATGGATGGATGGTATAGTCACAATCAAAACTATTAATATACATACATGGCAATGGCGAGAAATGATCAATTTAAGAAATAAAACGGCGGATTTCCGCGAATCCGCGGAAAATTGCCATGTATGAATATAGACCCGCGATTCTCAAAGTGTGGCACACGTATCACTAATGGTCCATGGGCTCCCTATAGTGAATTGAAAAACAATCACTCGATTGCATAAATATAAAATTGGGAGGGGGCATCCAAAACAGTAAATATGTAAAAGCAAACAAGCTGATGTGCAAACTGATTGTTAGTGGCTTCAATATTTTTTAAATACAGTAATGTCAGGTATTTTTGTTACTTTTAGTAATTTTTTTCAAACATCTTCCATCTTGTTTTTTAGTACAGTTCAATTATATTATTTTTAAGTACATTTACATTTGCTTGCAACTGCTTGTTTGAAAAAAAAGGTACAGTTTTTACTTAACTTTTACGTGTAATCCATTTTAATAGAATCATTACTGAAGTACATCTAATCATCATTTTTTGTAAATCTTATACTTGCGCTGTATGTTCTTTTACTTTGCTTTTCAACGTCCGAAATGATTCTGTTTATGTGTTCTTAAATGTTTTAAATTATTTTGTTTGTAAATGCCCTTAAATGTTGTTTCTTAATAATGCGAAGCACATTGATATAGCTTGTGAATGAAATGTGCTACATACAGTAAATAGAGAAAGAAAAGAAGAAGTAAAGGTAGTAAAGTTTACTTCTTTTTTTTCCCCAAATCTTCAAGCCTGGTGTTTATATTCGAACTGTGCACAATGTTAGGGCGGCTTACACTAATATTGAATACACTTTTACAAATAAAACTGCTGCCTCATTTTTAAGAACACTTCAGCCTACAGTTTTTTAAGTGAAACTTAAAAAGTTTCTGAATCACTCTTTCACTGTAGGCAATTGAAAATGCTTTTAGTTATTCTGATCCTACAAAATTCGGAAATTTTAACATCTTGCCGTTAAAAAACAGGCTCTTCCAGCAATGCGATATGCAATATTTGAGATTATTTTCTCGCATTTCACTCATTCATTTTAGAAAGGTAAATGCAGTATGTGATCTCCGAAGGATACTCGGTGAAGGCCTGTGGATTTCCGAGTGCCATTATAGCTACGCTCTACATCTATCGAACCGCTTTACCCTCACGAGGGTCGCAGCACGCTGAAGCCTATCCCAGCAGTCTTCGATCAGGAGGCGGGGCACACCCTGAATTGGTTGCCAGCCAACCGCAGGACATACATAGCCAAACAATCATTCACACTCACAATCACATCCAAGGACAAATTCAGAATCAGAATCAGAATCATCTTTATAGTGTTCCACTAACCTATCTTGCATGTTTGTGGAATGTGGGAGGAAATTGGTGAAGCCACGCAGGCACGGGGAGAACACGCAAACTCCACACCGGAAGGCCATGGGCCCGGAATCGAATCCATGACCTCTGCTCTGTGAGGCGGATGTACTAACCAGTCAACCACCGTGCCGCCCGGTTACACTCCACAGTGCTTAACAAATTTATGAAACAACATCTCTTCCTACTCGGCATTACAAAGCTCTTTAACCGTTTTGTGCACCCTGTAACCTGATAACATGATAAGCTGTCCACTGTAGTAACCGCTGTCCCTGTAATGGTTCATGTGGATTATTACAATTTCAGTGAGCTTGAACAGGAGGGACTTTCAAAGTGGATTCAGTAGAACAACACGGAATACGTTACGATTCCCAAGCCTGTGAAGCTGGACATTGCTGGAGTGCATAGACAATTGATAGTGTTCTTGGTGTTCTTGGCCAGACTTGCTTAATAATGCACATAGCGTACATGTCTGAAGCGCTGTGGTACATGCAAACATGAAAGTCTTACGCTCACCCTGATCTTGCTGTCTGCTCCCGGATACTCCTTTTCCTCCAGGGCCTCCCACCTCTGGTCGAACTTGGATGCCAGCGGGTCGTCGAAATCCACAATCTGGAAGCCCGACACGTTGGCACCGCCGTACTGGATTTTAGATAGGTCGCCATCGACAAAACCCTGAAAACACGACGATTTGTGGTTACTTTTGCAGCCTTACTGTTTAAAATCTTCACCTGTTGTTTTTCTCGGGTGTTCTTACCAGATTGGCTATGATATAATGGTAGCCTTTCACATGTCTGCCAATGGTGATCACCTGGAGAATTAGAGATCAGATGAAAAAAAACACTGAATTTCATGCATCGAATTTATTACTGTAAAGAAAATTTGGGGGTTGACTTCCCCTTTAATGCTGGTGGAAAACGATTTGCTCCAATACCTATTATAAAGGGGATCAGGGGGAAATATAGCAAATCTCAAAAGGGACAAACATAACCTGAAAGCAAAACTTCGACCTTGGATAATGTTACTTTTGCTTTTTCTCAACATTGTTTCAAATGGGAAATTCAAAAATCTGAGATCTAATTTTAAGGCCATGTTATTCAGCCTTACTTAAGCTGGGTCCACCTGCCACAAACGATTCCATTGAAATTTTCCGTCTGTATTACCCAACTTTAGGAGGACATCCCTTTTGAATTCCTTCCAAAAGCCGACGCGTGTCATGCTCGCTAGCGTAGCTAAAGCTTGGGTCCATGATCGCTGCATTAATAACCTGTGGTGTTGACAGTAACGACTGTGGCAAAAAGAGATATCCAAAGCGACTTTCCCTTATCAACAGCAGCAGGGTGGGTGGAAAGAAGGGACGGAAAATTGATCGACTTTGTACTGTTTGAAAGCTTGACAGGTGTGACACGCCAGAAGCTAATCCTGTCGCTTGACTGGCACCTCTGTCTGTCGGGACAACGACTCCGGGCAGATCTGAATAGTAATGTTTTGTATCTGCGACTGGGGTACAAAGCCTGGAATGTCTACCTGGAGTTCCCTGATACACAAGCGTGAAGATGTCAATGTTATTGCGCAAAGCGGGGAAATATTGGATTACAGTGAACCCTTGCCAGTTTGCAACTTCCTATTCACAAATATACATTTTTTTTTCTGTGTAGCCAGTCCTCAGCTATTCATTGAAAAACACAACTGGCATTTTTGTGTTCGGTCTATAAACCAAAACCCTGGCTAATAAGAAAATGATAATTGGTGTCAAGGAAGTACAGTATGGTGAAGTGATACATCTCAACCGGCCGACTAACACTAGATCTTTGTGTGCCACCTAAGAGTTAAGTTTTGTACGGGATGTTTGTGGGAGTTACTTCGAGTGCAATGTGACCATGACAAAATGTGATTGACTTCACGCCCCTGCAGACAGTTGCAGTGCATTTTTAAAGGGAGGGGCGTGGTGAACTTTTGTTGAATCTGAGCTCAGTCCTTCAAATAGCAGTTTTAATGTATAGAAGCAGAAGTGTAAAAACCTGGTCCATGATGTCTTTGACTTTGTCTTGTTCACAGTCCAGGATCACTCTGCGCTCCTTCTTATTCTCCAGGTCCTGGAAAAGCGAGCGGTACGCTTCGTCCTTACGCTCATCTTTCAGGTTGCCCACGTTGATGGCCGTCACTTGCCACTTCCTCTCAGCCGCCGTGTCCAGAACCACCTGAAGCGTCGTCAGACCTGAGAAAGGGGGAAGCGCAAAGTCACATTCCAGCATCGGGGTTTCATTTCCCTGGTGACAAAATCTCAAAATAGGCAATAGAAACAATAGAAGATAACAAAACAACAATGACAGAATGATGCCCCGGCTTAACAATTTGAAACATGGCTGCCGTATTTGTTTCATTGACTCGCAGGGAAATGCTGATCCACTCCAGTCCTGTAGAATGCGTGTGACAAAATGGGTGCAACCCCACATGCGGAATTAAAATTGGTCACTGCCCCCCTTGGACCCCATTCAAGTGGACTATGATAGCTCCGCTTTACCTTTTATCTATTGGATCAGAGCTATAATTAAATGACATCTGCCTTTACACTGACGCTTTACAACATTTTATGCACATTGGTTATGTGAAACCATACTAACTGACCAATCAACACACCCACCAACTAACCTAATAACAAGCAACTCACCAAATTGACCAGCCAACTGGCTCGTAACCCAGCACCCGGCTTGCCAACAAATTAACTGATGGTCCAAATAAGTGACCAACCAGCTAACCAATTAGAAAAACACCCAACCAACCGACTAAAGGAGGAACCAACTGACTATGCAACTAACTGACAAGCCACCTGACTAACTCATTAAGCAAAAAAATGGCTAACCAACTAAGCTTCAAACCAGCAAATTCACAAACTAACCGACTGACTAACTGACCAGCCAACCAACTGAATGACTAACCAACAAATTGACAAACGACCAGATCAACCAACCAAGAAACAAACTGCCCAACGAACTAACAAACAGACGAATCAACCAAACGACTAACTGACCAATGAACAAACTAACCCACAACACGACTAACTGCATAAGAAACAAGCTGACTAATTAACTAATTAAAGAACCAACTAACCAAGCAACGAACCAACAAACCAACTGACAAATAAAACACCCAACTTAATGACTAAATAACACAATAACCAACCAATGCACAAATCAAGCAACCCACGAAGTAACCGACGAAACAAGAGCAGCCCGATTTACCCCCCGCCCCCCCCCGCAGCTCTTGTGAAAGCAGCATAATTATTCTGGAAATAAGCTCAATAATGTGGCAGACACGACATATTCACGGTCGGGCTTTGTTGGTTTATTGCCGATTGGCTGCCATCTCAGGTTCGTTAAAAAGGTCGTGATTCAGTGCTTTTATGTAACGAGCTTGTCGGGGTGAGTCATTGGTATTCTGCATTGCAACCAAGTGTGGGAGGGAAGTGTCTCGAATAACACGCAGTTTATGACAGGGTACACTTTTGATCGTTTCATATCTTTGTTGGTGAGTTCTTTGTTTTTCAGTTTCTTTTCCGAATGTCTTAAAACTGTCAAGCTCAATTCAAATTGAGAGAGCAAAAATGCAAGCAGCTTTCATTCTTATGGGCTCCCCACTATAGGTCGGAATCACAAAGACCTCATCAGCAACAACTCAATCAGAAAAAAAAGAAATGAGGGACATATAAATATGTCAACAGAACAGTAAATTTGACTACGTATATCATAAACATACTCAAGCTATCCTCAAAACATTCACAGACGTCTGAAAAGTAGTGCATTTCATAAAAATGAAAACAAAGTAAATCTGTCCTGATGTAAAGAAAACATTTCCCAACTATTTTCACAATGTGTCGGAAAAGATGCTCACGTCGAGGAGTTGCTGGTTTGATCATCACCCCCTTTCTTATTCTAAGCTAATTAATTATGCAATCTCATGAACAAATCAGAATGCCTTTTTGAGATTTTTAAGCAAAAATGCTTGAAGCAAGTCAAATCCTCTCACACAAAAACTGCCCGGTGAAGAAAAAAAAAAAATCTGCACATTTTGCCTTATCTTGAAATATTTCATTGTAGTGGGATGTGAGTCACTAATGAAGGGAATCTGGGACACGATTGTCGTTGAAATTGTTTTACACTGCATAAAATTATGACATATTTCTGCTTTAATTCATATTTGAGCTGCCAGCTGCTAGATGACTCGACAGATCCAATGAAACTCTCCTCAAAGTGCGCAAAACGTCCGTAACGGATCTGATGAACGAGCCTCTGAGTGGAATGGAGCGGCCAAATGTGCTCCTCCAGTCTTTATATCACCATCTTGTTTGGCCTTTATTCCCCCCCCCCAAAACAGAGTTCTGGCCCGGACGAGACGTTTAATTATATCTCTTGATCAATCTGACGTTCCAGACGAGTTAAAGACGTTTCACAGCTGAAACTTGCCCGTATCGACCCTGGGGTTGCGTTTTAATAAAAAAGCCTGGCGTATGTAATCCAAGCTTGATGGTGGCGGGGTGAGATATCGATCACTTTCATTTATTTATTTTACGGCGCGGGGAAAATGTCAGGCTCGCATTTTTATTTGAGCGAGCTATACGTGTATAATTACAATGAGGACACGATGTTCTGCCTGAGCTAAAAACAGGCCATTCTGACTTCAGGTAATCACGTATTTGATCTTTTATGACTTGGTGAAGCAGCATGTGGCTCTTTGTGCAAGGTTGTTGTTTTTTGTACTCTCAAAGTAACAGTCAATGAATCAGACATTTGTAGTCATATTTCAGCACAAGCGTGATTGCAGCTCTCGCTCCAGTCAAAAAACGACTGAGACTGTGATCACCTAGAATTGTGATCCTGAGAGTTGCAATCATGATCAAAATCAGATTATTTGCAGCCCCCTTTCACAAACATACATTTGCGATCCTGATCACAAAAATACAATTGAGATCTGGATCACAAACTTGTAACTGTGATCTGGATTGCAAGCATACAATTATGATCCCGATTTCAAACAATAAGACCGTGATCCTGCACATAAACATACAATTGTGATCTCCATCCCTTTCATGCATTTGTGATGCTGATCAAAAAAGATACAATTGCGATCCTGCTCACACACATACAATTGTGATCTGGATTGCAAACATCCGATTATGATCCGGAACAAAAAAGATAATACTAATACTGTGATCCTACTTTCAAACAGCCAATTGTGATCTGGATTGGAAACATACAATTGTCATCCAGATCAAAAATACACAGTCCAGTTTTGATACTGCTCAGCACCAACACAATTGAGTAATCTGGATCAAAAACATACAATTGGGATCCTGATCTAACAGATTCAATAGTGATCTTACTCACAAATGTACTATTGTGATCTGAATATCAAGCATACAATTACAATCCTGAAAAAACAAACACTCGTGATCGTGCTCACAAACATGCAATTGTGATCTGTACTGCGAAAATATAACAGCGATCCTGATGGCAAGAAGACAAATTCAATGCTGATCACACTCAAACAATTTTGATCTTGATCGTAAACATATAACTGTGACAACGGACACAAAACCGCTATCTGGATCACAAACTCAGGATTGCAGTTCTGATCACAAACATATTATTGCAGTCGCGATCACAGTCATTTCCATACTGCATCATCTGAGATCCTGATCACGCATGTTTTCACTTACTTGTGACGGGGCATTCAAATATAGATAAAGAAGCGCACGCTGTGTCACAAAGCCTGAAGACATTTCTATTTGATCCCATTGTGCAGAATGGTCTCGCAATGCACAGTAAACGGTGTGTAGACATGGACTAGTAGCGCATGTTGCACACATGAGGCTGCTGAGTGCACACAGAAGGCATCACGTGAATAATGCACCCGTAAGAAGGACGTCTATTGACTTGCGCGTGCTAGCTTGTTGGCTTAGCAAGGATTTAGCGTAGTGCTGCTCTTTCCTCCATTTCACTCCACACTAAACATGCCACACGCATACACTTAATCTTTGCATCGACGGCATCTCTTCGGATGGCTTTCATGCTGTGAAACCCACCACCCGCATCTCCCCTCTTCATGCTCCCATCCCATTCAGCAACGCAATTTAGCATCCGTCCCCAAATACTAATCATTTTTTAATGGAAAAAAAAGGACAAATCCGCCCCCACCCCACCCACACACACACAAAATTCCTGCTTTAAAATATGCCGCATGAAACCTGCTGCTTACTGTACGAGTGCGACAGGCACCGATGGGGACCGCAGTGCATATACTTCGCCATCGCACGGCTGTCTAATTAGGTCAGTGTGATCCTCTCGTTCCCATGCCAACCGATGTGTGGCACTGGCAAGAGGAAGGGATGGAAGGAAGGCGGAAGAGAGTGCTGGATGTGACTGAGCAGGTCACTAAGTGATGCGAGGACGTGTGTGTGTTTGTGTGTGTGTGTGCGCGCGTGCGTGTGAGTGTGCATTTGACGGTCGCGACGGAGCCGCCATTGATTAGCATGACTTCAATTCGCACGTCGAGCCACTTCACTGCATTCATGTAAGAAGTACATTCACCGGAGACCACATTAGGTAGACTTGATCAATCCAATGGGATTTATAAAAAAATAAATAAAAATCTGACTTGACAAATTTAACAATGCCAAATTCTGAGTCATTACACTTTGTTGCTGAGCTCTGCACACGGTGAAAGCTTTCTCACCTTAGCATCATCCAACGGCCTACTGTATTGCACAGTTAAATTTTGGTAACAATGGGACAAAATCTTGAGTATGGGTATGCTTTGGAAGACCGTGGAAATTTCAGACTTGACCCTCAAATATCAGTTTTGACTCAAATTGGCATAGCTCCTGTGTCTTTTTGTACAAGGCTTCTTGAGACTTTTTGGTGGGTCTGCTCACAGTTGACAGGCCTTCCGAATTTCATGTTGCAAAGTGAAACCTGCTTCAGGGGTTGACATATCATTGAAGGACCAACAAAATGACCCTTAAATGACCAATTCTTAACAAAATGGCTGTTGAGACTTGGTTTGCTGGGACTTTTTTTGTGGGTCAAGTGAAACTGGCTTCGGGGATGTATTGTCATTTGAGGACCCCTGAAAACAACCAAAAAGATCCTGACAATGGCCATTTCAAAACAAAATTGGATGCTGCCTCTGTGTATTTGGCTAGGATCTCTTGAGGCTTTTTTGGAGGGTCTACTTATGTTGTCATGCCTACCAAATTTTTAAAAAAGTTAAGTGAAACTGGCTTTAGGGGTTGATAAGAACCCTTAAATGGCCAAGTCTTAACTAAGCGGCTTTTCCGACTGTTTGTGGGTCTATTGTTGCAAATGGAAATTGGCTTCAGTAATTACATTTTCTTTGAAGCACTCCTGAAAACAACTACCGTTCAATGATGTCTAAAATGGCCACTTAAAAACCAACATAGCAGACTTCCTGTGTCTTGACTTTTTTCATGGGTCTACTCATGATACACACGCCGACCAAATTTCAGATTGCAAAGGGAACTGGAACCTTTCAATCACAAACAACTCTCAGCATTATTATTATGATTAGAAGTGTGGAGGTCCACGGCCGCAGGGCCCATCACCTCCACTGCATGTCACAACTACTACCGCACACGTCCAATTATGTTACATAAAATGTGCGCGCGCGCGCGCCCACACGCACACACACACACACGCACACGCACACACACACACACACACACGAATACACACACAGAAACAAACTCAAACACGTGTTGCAGCTGATTGTATGTGACAAGCACACTTTCATTAAATGCACCTGGGGGTGGTCAAATCCAGAACCACATTGGAGAGGGGGTAGTGGGGGGAGGGAGCAAACACTAAAGACTTGAGGACATTTTGGGCACTATGAGGGCAAAGTCAACATCTCACAAGTTCCAAATAACACCTTGGAGCAATCTTGGAATTTACTGAAACAGAATGAATATGCCTGCATGAAAAAGAATAGGAGAGAATATTGCAATGTATTCTTTTGAATTTAGAGTATTACATTGCACAATTTAAATATTCATAAGTAAGTAAGACATACTGTATATATTATATGACAATATACAGCATAACAAATATATCCATCCATCCACCCACGACCTCACAGTGGCGGAAGAGAGTGCTGGATGTGACTGAGCAGGTCACTAAGTGATGCGAGGACGTGTGTGTGTTTGTGTGTGTGTGTGCGCGCGTGCGTGTGAGTGTGCATTTGACGGTCGCGACGGAGCCGCCATTGATTAGCATGACTTCAATTCGCACGTCGAGCCACTTCACTGCATTCATGTAAGAAGTACATTCACCGGAGACCACATTAGGTAGACTTGATCAATCCAATGGGATTTATAAAAAAATAAATAAAAATCTGACTTGACAAATTTAACAATGCCAAATTCTGAGTCATTACACTTTGTTGCTGAGCTCTGCACACGGTGAAAGCTTTCTCACCTTAGCATCATCCAACGGCCTACTGTATTGCACAGTTAAATTTTGGTAACAATGGGACAAAATCTTGAGTATGGGTATGCTTTGGAAGACCGTGGAAATTTCAGACTTGACCCTCAAATATCAGTTTTGACTCAAATTGGCATAGCTCCTGTGTCTTTTTGTACAAGGCTTCTTGAGACTTTTTGGTGGGTCTGCTCACAGTTGACAGGCCTTCCGAATTTCATGTTGCAAAGTGAAACCTGCTTCAGGGGTTGACATATCATTGAAGGACCAACAAAATGACCCTTAAATGACCAATTCTTAACAAAATGGCTGTTGAGACTTGGTTTGCTGGGACTTTTTTTGTGGGTCAAGTGAAACTGGCTTCGGGGATGTATTGTCATTTGAGGACCCCTGAAAACAACCAAAAAGATCCTGACAATGGCCATTTCAAAACAAAATTGGATGCTGCCTCTGTGTATTTGGCTAGGATCTCTTGAGGCTTTTTTGGAGGGTCTACTTATGTTGTCATGCCTACCAAATTTTTAAAAAAGTTAAGTGAAACTGGCTTTAGGGGTTGATAAGAACCCTTAAATGGCCAAGTCTTAACTAAGCGGCTTTTCCGACTGTTTGTGGGTCTATTGTTGCAAATGGAAATTGGCTTCAGTAATTACATTTTCTTTGAAGCACTCCTGAAAACAACTACCGTTCAATGATGTCTAAAATGGCCACTTAAAAACCAACATAGCAGACTTCCTGTGTCTTGACTTTTTTCATGGGTCTACTCATGATACACACGCCGACCAAATTTCAGATTGCAAAGGGAACTGGAACCTTTCAATCACAAACAACTCTCAGCATTATTATTATGATTAGAAGTGTGGAGGTCCACGGCCGCAGGGCCCATCACCTCCACTGCATGTCACAACTACTACCGCACACGTCCAATTATGTTACATAAAATGTGCGCGCGCGCGCGCCCACACGCACACACACACACACGCACACGCACACACACACACACACACGAATACACACACAGAGGCAGCTTGTGGCATTGTTTCACACACAGAAACAAACTCAAACACGTGTTGCAGCTGATTGTATGTGACAAGCACACTTTCATTAAATGCACCTGGGGGTGGTCAAATCCAGAACCACATTGGAGAGGGGGTAGTGGGGGGAGGGAGCAAACACTAAAGACTTGAGGACATTTTGGGCACTATGAGGGCAAAGTCAACATCTCACAAGTTCCAAATAACACCTTGGAGCAATCTTGGAATTTACTGAAACAGAATGAATATGCCTGCATGAAAAAGAATAGGAGAGAATATTGCAATGTATTCTTTTGAATTTAGAGTATTACATTGCACAATTTAAATATTCATAAGTAAGTAAGACATACTGTATATATTATATGACAATATACAGCATAACAAATATATCCATCCATCCACCCACGACCTCACAGTGGGTTCAATCCCGGCTCCGGGTTTACTGTTTGGAGTTTGCATGTTCTCCCCGTGCCTGCGTGGGTTTTCTCCGGGTACTCCGGTTTCCTCCCACATTCCAAAAACATGCATGGCAGGCTGATTGAACACTCTAATTTGGCCGTAGGTGTGAGTGTGAGCGCGGATGGTTGTTCGTCTCTGTGTGCCCTCCAATTGGCTGGCAACCAGTTCAGGGTGTAACGCACCTACTGCCCCAAGACAGCTGGGATAGGCTCCAGCAATCCCCACGACCCTTAAATAAAAGTGGATCGGAAAATGGATGGCTGGATCGATAGATTTCTGCATTGTAGTTACAGAAGAAAATGTTAATTACTTTCACAGGTGTGTTTGTCGAGGATACCATTTGGATAAACCACCCCACATTTCAAGTTCATTTCCAAACTGCAACTAATCCATTGAAAATTTTTGAGAATTTGACACATTTTTCAATTCCAACCTGAAATAATTCATGCAATGTCCGATCGTCAAACACATACATATCAAAAAATGTTGGTCCACTGCTTTGTCCATTCCAATCCCAACACAGTTGAAGAAAGGAATGTCACGTTAACGGCGTACTGACCTCGATCACTGTCGTACAGGTAGGCGAACTTGTCCCACTTGTAGTACTCGATGAGGCTGAGCAGTGGCCCCTTGATGTCGGGCCTCATCTGGATGATGAACTGCTGGTTGCCGTCCAGCGGGAAGCTGGGCGTGATGAAGGACACGTGCAGCGTGCCGCAGAACGACGTGATGGTGTTGACCGACTTCTTGTCGTAGAATCCGAAAATGGCGTAGACGCCCCTGGAGAACTGCGAGCAGACTGCAATGAGAGACAAAACAAGCGTTAATGTTTGTTGTTTTACATCCGTTAGCGCGCCTCGGGGACGCGTGCGCCTTGTTCGCCGTGTCTGCCGGCTGATTAATTGATTTCCGTCTTTTAACTGCACTGGGGGACTGCTTGTACTGAAGAGGACGTATGGCAGAGAAAGTCACAAAAAGCCTGCTGAACTTCAGAATGTTCGATTACTCGTCTATTTCCTCGGAAACAGCAGCAGAAGTAGTTTATCTTTTTTTTAGGCTAATAGCAAATGTAAGAGTTTGTCTTCTTAAAGATACAGCATCAATAGTTTACATGGGAAAAAGGGGACACGTCAATAGTTTGTCACCTTTGTATTAGGGTCCGACCAATGAATCAATTGATATTTGCTCTTTCAAAATCAGCAATTTTTTTTCTACCCTGACGGTGCTATAGTGCTCCCCACCCTCAATAGTGCACAATTTAGTCTTAACCAACAAAAAGTTACACAATCCTTGCTTTTATCGAAGATGACACAATACCTCAAAAAATTCATAATATTTGAGTTTGTTATTTAGCAGCGCTTCAATGTTAATATTTATTGCACATATTAGAAAGCTTTTCATGTCTTTCTCACCTTTTCGGTCTTGCTTTGAATGCAAGTGTGCCGCATGTAATCTATATTTTCATTCCCGTGATTTGCGCTACATCCTCCATTCTGTTGGCTTTGCAAAAATCACCCCCTCATTGTATAATTTACGAGCCATGCCCGGCGCATTGGCCAAAGTGGCTTTTCCCAACATTTAAAATTCATTATGCAGTGAGCACCGAGATGTCGCTCGGGGTCGCTGCTACTTTTGTGGCCGTAAACCGCAAAGGTGGGCACGTTACCCCATTTTGCCGGTCCGTCCTACGTCCGCGACCTGGGTTCCCGTCCATCATCGTCCCTCTGTCCTTATTCATATAATAATGGTCGTCCATCTACGTCCGTCCTCGTTCTTTAAAAGCGCAATTCAATACCCGACAGACGCGACACACTCACTTTGCTCCATACTTTCGGGTAGCACTGCTGATCCCATCATGGATGGCGCCTTTTGCGATAACCGCAAGCATTACCATAGGGACCTTTTACATTACATAAACAAAGATGCCTGCTTGATTGTGTTGACGCTGCGATTGACCCGTTACCGCGCACGCGCACGCACATACACGCGCACGCCATGATGAGCAACAGCCTGACAGAGAGGCATGCGACGCACTTTTGTAGCCTGTTAACTATCGTAGCTCACACTTACCGTTTTAAAGCGCTTCCCTCGGCCTTCTAGATTCCTATTCTTTACTCGTGCCCTCGGTGAATTATACACGAAACAAACTCTGAATGAGAATAATGATAACGATAAATGATATAGCGCAAAAGCTCTGATCACAGGCTGCAATTGTAGCTGCTGAGCGCTAACAACTTCCGGTGACGCAGGTCACGCGCCATCTCGGTTAAAGATTTAGCTGCTTTATTTGATTTTATCTTGTTCATACTTTTTGTGAAAATGAGACTGATAGGATGATTAGGGTGCAGTGTACATTAACACAAAATAATAGATTACTAACATGCACAAAGACACACAAATGGTTGGTTGTTTTTTTTCTTCTCTACACCCCTTAACTATCGACTTGGGACCAGTCCGCAATCTACCGGTCGATCGCGATCGACGTAATGGGCAGCCCTCGGATCACATCATACAATCAAAATTTGATTGTATGATGTTATCTGAGCTCAGTTTGCCGATTTATGTCTAATATTAAAGCCACATACAATATGGCGGATGGGCTCATATATCGCATCGACCCTGTCTGTAACAGAATTGAAAAGAAAAAGGAAAAGAATATTATATTAATTTTTCATTTTCCAAAGAGTTTATGGCTTCAGTTCAAATGCCATTCGTTGCCGACACGAATGTAATGTGTCATTTCTCGCTTGCCGTACATGCAACATGACAGTCGAATGTCAGAATCTAAACGTCATCTAATTTGCCACAACTGCGATCGATGGTCACCAAAATGTATATTGACATCTTTACTCATTGCTCACATCAACCTCTGAAAATATTGGAATGATCGCCCAAGTATTAGTGATTTTAGGGTGTTTTCCTCTTCAAAGTGGCACTCACTACAAAGCTTATGTCGCTTCAGGAGAGAAACGCGTCGTCCACATTACACAATGCCACACTTTGAAAAATGTGCAGGACTCTCGCATGCAAACGTTGAGGTATTCATCGCGTATACGCCTGCCTACCGAAGCTTATTTTCAGTAACACCGTGATTGGCTGTTGCAGATAAACCATCAATCGAACAAAAATGACATCACTGTTTCTTTTTTTAAATGTCTGAGTGATAAGCAACTCAAATTTTGTATTTCCCAACACAAAAATAGTTACTTTGATCAAATAAAATATTAATCATGAAAACTTTACTTTTAGAAATCCAAGCTACCATCACGGTGGACGGGTATAGAGAGACAGACAACAGAGCCAGCTTTCTTCACCGGCTGGATTGATCGTTAGTGAAATGGGTCTCCGTAGGCACTTTGTTTTGTTCTCTGACTGTTACACTATGTGGCAGTGTTGCTAAAAAAATACTGTTGAGATGAAATAGCCTGTTAGAAAATACAGTGTTTGGCTACACGTTGGCTTTGTGATTTTGCCTCCCGACACCACATACTTAACCCGGTTAGGGACGATTAAAGGTACGGACGAAAACCCACTTCTGTCCTTGCTTAATCCGTCCTTTTTAAAAAACTTCTCGTCCTCCGTCCTCCATCCCAAAAGACCAACCTAGGGACGGCATGACCTTCTCTGGTAAACAGACGGAAAAGCTTTTCCGCCGTCCTGAGGTTGCTGATCGTTTCTCAAGCATTACGTCAGGGTCAGCGGATTAGCTTGTCGTTCTTGCGGCTCGTATTGATCGCATATAACTTCATCAGCTCTATTGACCGTGCACCGTTGTAATTAATGTAATGAGGCCTTTCTTCTAGTGCGGGGGTCGACAACTCGCGACTCCGGAGCCGCATGCGGCTCTTTAGCGCCGCCTAGTGGCTCTCTGGGCCTTTCTAAAATGTTTCAAAATGTAAAAAGATGGTGGAGTGAAAATATATTTTTTGTTTGAATATGGTTTCTGTAGGAGGGCAAACATTCTTAACATTTTCCAATGCTGTAAAAATATGTCGATTAAATATTACATTTCAACATTTCTGTCAACGAAGATTTGCATCACAGCCTGAGACACACATTTCTATTAGCAGAGCGTGATGCCAGGCAAGCGGCTGTTGTAAGAAGAAATGGCGTTTCATGTCCAATTCACCGAGGGAACTGGCAAAGAATGGCAATCTGAAGGACAGAGAGAAGCATTTTAAAACGGTATACGTCCTCTACGAAATTTAACACGCTGCAAAAGTGCGTCCCGTGCCTCGTTCATCTTAGCCGCCGTTATGGCTGTTGCTCATTATGGCAGGCGTGTGTAAGTGCGTGCGTGTGCGGTAAGGGGTCGTTCGCGGAAGGCTGGTTGATCGAAAAATAGAGCTTTGGCCAAAAAAGGTTGGGCCCCCCTGCTCTACAGGATGCACTGCAGGGGAAAAATAACTCATTTAATCGGGAAGGCTCATTGTGTATTTGTAGCCAACTTAGTCATTTTGATAGTAGGCTAATATAGCTAATATAGATACATACAGCGTGTGTTGCCTTCTTTCTGAGGCTTTTAATTTATTGCGGCTGCAGACACATTTGTTTTTTGAGTCCAGTATGGCTCTTTCAACATTTTGGGTTGCCGACCCCTGTTCTAGTGCAATATCATGTTAATGAGTTGCTGACATGGGGAGCTCGATTCCATTGAGAGGAGATAAAGGCAACTCGACAGGATGCCCTCCCAAAAAGCTAACCTAAGAGCTGTCCAATTCAAAGCATGCTTCACCAATTTTTTTCAGGTTGTTCTTTTTTTTTTTTTTTTTTTTTTAACAAATGTATGACGATCTGTTTTTGTCTGTTCAAATAATTTGCAGGAAATGCAACAAAAGAATGACCTCAATCTAAAAAAAAAAAAAAAAAAAAAAAAAAAAAAAAAAACAACCCAACAACAACTCCAAAACATTCATTCATTCATTCATTCATCTTCCGATCCGCTTTATCCTCACAAGGATCGCAGGGGGTGCTGGAGCCTATCTCAGCTGTCTTTGGGCAGTAGGTGGGGGACACCCCGAACAGGTTGCCAGCCAATCGCAGGGCACACAGAAACAAACAACCATCCACGCTTACACTCCCACCTAGAGACAATTTAGAGTGTCCAATCAACCTGTCATGCATGTTTTTGGAATGTGGGAGGAAACCGGAGGACCCGGAGAAAACCCACGCAGGCACGGGGAGAACATGCAAACTCCACACAGGAAGGCCGGAGCTGGAATCGAAACCGGTACCTCTGCACTGTGGAGTCGACGACCTAACCACTCGACTACCGGGCCACCCAGGACCCCAAAACAAACCACTAAATCGTCGAAAATCTTTTTACACATTTGCAGCACAAAACGTTCACAAGATTTATTTTGGAGAGGGAAGACAAGTCAATCTGGCGCAATAAAGAAGTCGAGGACGGTTAATCGCCGGTTGGCAGAAAGAGTGAAGGATTGTGGGAAAAGCCATTATGTCTTTGTCACATGTGACTGCCTCTCAATGAATCCTACTCACAAATCCCTCCGCACACTCGCAACAACTAAATGACTATATATTCTCAAGTCCACATACAAAATGTTTGATTGTTCCACTCACTTCACTGAGAATGTACAACTGCACACTGGCTTTTTCATTGCAATATATAGAACATTACTTAAAAAAAAAAGTCTTATGCAAGGGCGGCACGGTAGTCGACTGGTTAGCACGTCGGCCTCACAGTGCAGAGGTGCAGGGTTTGATTACAGCTTTGGTCTTGCTGTGTGGAATTTACATGTTCTCCCCGTGCCCGTGTGGGTTTTCTCTGGGTTCTCC